GGATTTTTGGGGTGGAATTTTGGGATTTGGGGCTGGATTTTTGGGGATTTTTTTGGGATGAAATTTTGGGATTTTGGGGGTAGAATTTTGGGATTTCAGGGTGGATTTTTGGGGTGGAATTTTGGGGTTTGGGGATTTTTTTTGGGATGAAATTTTGGGATTTGGGGCTGGATTTTTGGGGATTTTTTTGGGATGAAGTTTTGCGATTTTGGGCTGGATTTTTGGGATGAAATTTTGGGATTTTGGGCTGGATTTTTGGTGCTTTTTGCCCTCCCGCATACCAGCATTCGGGGGTGGATCATTTCTTTAATCTTGAGCATTTCGGGGATTTCCGGGGCGTTTCGGGGTGGACTCGTCCGTTTTCGGGCTGAATTCGGCCATTTTTGGGGTGAATTCGGCCGTTTTTGGGGTGGTCTCGGCCGTTTTCGGGCTGAATTCGGCCGTGTTCGGGCTGAATTCGGCCATTTTTGGGGTGAATTCGGCCGTTTTTGGGGTGAACTCGGCCATTTTTGGGGTGAATTTGGCCATTTTTGGGTCAGTTCTGGGCCATGGGGTCCGGCTGGCAGTGGCCGGAGCTGCACCGGTGACACCGGAATTTGGGGGGGGATTTGGGGATTTTGGGATTTTTTTTTTTTTTTAGTTTTTAGCTAGAAGAAAGGATGACGTGACTTGATTTTTTTTGGGGGGAGAATTTTGGGGTTTCAGGGTGGGTTTTTGGGGTGGAATTTTGGGGGTTGGGGGTTTTTTTTGGGATGAAATTTTGGGATTTTGGGGGTAGAATTTTGGGATTTCAGGGTGGATTTTTGGGGTGGAATTTTGGGGTTTGTGGATTTTTTTTGGGATGAAATTTTGGGATTTGGGGCTGGATTTTTGGGGATTTTTTTGGGATGAAGTTTTGCGATTTTGGGCTGGATTTTTGGGATGAAATTTTGGGGTTTGGGGCTGGATTTTTGGGGTGGAATTTTGGGATTTAGGGCTGGATTTTGGGGGATTTTTGGGGTAGATTTTTGGGGAGTTTTTTGGGATGAAATTTTGTGATTTTTGGGGATTTTTGGGATGAAATTTTGGGACTTTGGGCTGGATTTTTGGTGCTTTTTGCCCTCCCGCACACCAGCATTCGGGGGTGGATCATTTCTTTAATCTTGAGCATTTCGGGGATTTCCGGGGCGTTTCGGGGTGGACTCGTCCGTTTTCGGGCTGAATTCGGCCATTTTTGGGGTGAATTCGGCCGTTTTTGGGGTGGTCTCGGCCGTTTTCGGGCTGAATTCGGCCGTGTTCGGGCTGAATTCGGCCATTTTTGGGGTGAATTCGGCCGTTTTCGGGTCAGTTCTGGGCCATGGTGTCCTGCAGCCAGCGGCCGTAGCGGCACAGGTTGACGTAGACCCCCGGTTTTTGGGGGTCCCCGCAGACCCCCGGCCCCCACGAGGTGATGCCCTGCAGGCGCCCGTTGCACATCAGGGGCCCCCCGGAGTCGCCCTGGGGGGACAAAATTCGGGGGGGCAGGGCCGGGACCCCGAAATTCCGGGGAAAACCGGCGAAGATCCGGCGGAAATCCGGCGAGAACCGGAAGAAATCGGCCCCAAATTGCACCAAAATCGCCCCAAAAAGCGCCCCAAAACCACCAGGGGTCGGCCCAGAAATGCCCCAAATGGCCCCAAAATTGTCCCAAATTCACCTCAAATTGACCCAAATGACCCCAAATTGACCCAAATGACCCCAAATTGCCTTGAATTGCCTAAAAATGTCCCTGAATTTCCCAAAATTCACCTCAAATTGACCCAAATGACCCCAAATTGACCCAAATGACCCCAAATTGACCCAAATGACCCCAAATTGACCAAAATGACCCCAAATTGTCTCAAAATTGTCTAAAAATGTCCCTGAATTTCCCGAAATTCACCTCAAATTGACCCAAATGACCCCAAATTGCCTCGAATTGTCTAAAAATGTCCCTGAATTTCCCGAAATTCACCTCAAATTGACCCAAATGACCCCAAATTGCCTCGAATTGTCTAAAAATGTCCCTGAATTTCCCGAAATTCACCTCAAATTGACCCAAATGACCCCAAATTGCCTCGAATTGTCTAAAAATGTCCCTGAATTTCCCGAAATTCACCTCAAATTGACCCAAATGACCCCAAATTGCCTCGAATTGTCTAAAAATGTCCCTGAATTTCCCGAAATTCACCTCAAATTGACCCAAATGACCCCAAATTGCCTCGAATTGTCTAAAAATGTCCCTGAATTTCCCGAAATTCACCTCAAATTGACCCAAATGACCCCAAATTGCCTCGAATTGTCTAAAAATGTCCCTGAATTTCCCGAAATTCACCTCAAATTGACCCAAATGACCCCAAATTGCCTCGAATTGTCTAAAAATGTCCCTGAATTTCCCGAAATTCACCTCAAATTGACCCAAATGACCCCAAATTGCCTCGAATTGTCTAAAAATGTCCCTGAATTTCCCGAAATTCACCTCAAATTGACCCAAATGACCCCAAATTGCCTCGAATTGTCTAAAAATGTCCCTGAATTTCCCGAAATTCACCTCAAATTGACCCAAATGACCCCAAATTGCCTCGAATTGTCTAAAAATGTCCCTGAATTTCCCGAAATTCACCTCAAATTGACCCAAATGACCCCAAATTGCCTCGAATTGTCTAAAAATGTCCCTGAATTTCCCGAAATTCACCTCAAATTGACCCAAATGACCCCAAATTGCCTCGAATTGTCTAAAAATGTCCCTGAATTTCCCGAAATTCACCTCAAATTGACCCAAATGACCCCAAATTGCCTCGAATTGTCTAAAAATGTCCCTGAATTTCCCGAAATTCACCTCAAATTGACCCAAATGACCCCAAATTGCCTCGAATTGTCTAAAAATGTCCCTGAATTTCCCGAAATTCACCTCAAATTGACCCAAATGACCCCAAATTGACCGAAATGATCCCAAATTGACCCAAATGACCCCAAATTGCCTTGAATTGTCTAAAAATGTCCCTGAATTTCCCGAAATTCACCTCAAATTGACCCAAATGACCCCAAATTGACCCAAATGACCCCAAATTGACACAAATGACCCCAAATTGACCCAAATGACCCCAAATTGCCTTGAATTGTCTAAAAATGTCCCTGAATTTCCCAAAATTCACCTCAAATTGACCCAAATTGAACCAAATTGACCCAAATGACCCCAAATTGCCTTGAATTGTCTAAAAATGTCCCTGAATTTCCCGAAATTCATCTCAAATTGACCCAAATTGAACCAAATTGACAAAAATGGACCCAAATTGACCCAAATGACCCCAAATTGACCGAAATGATCCCAAATTGACCCAAATGACCCCAAATTGCCTTGAATTGTCTAAAAATGTCCCTGAATTTCCCAAAATTCACCTCGAATTGACCCAAATGACACCAAATTGCCTTGAATTGTCTAAAAATGTCCCTGAATTTCCCAAAATTCACCTCGAATTGACCCAAATTGAACCAAGTTGACCCAAATGACCCCAAATTGACCCAAATGACCCCAAATTGACCCAAATTGACCCAAATGACCCCAAATTGCCTTGAATTGTCTAAAAATGTCCCTTAATTTCCCGAAATCCACCCCAAATTGACCCAAATGACCCCAAATTGAACCAAAATGGACCCAAATCGGCACAAATTGCCCCAAAGTGGCCCCAAGTTACCCCAAAACAGCCCCAAATTGCCCCAAAATTGCCCCAGAAGAACCAGGCCTCCCCAAGTTCAACCCAAAATTGCCCAGATGGATGAAAAACGACCCCAAATTCCCCTCAAATTGACCCAAAATGGCCCCAAAATTACCAAAAATGGCCCCAAATTGCCCCAAGTTACCCCACAATGACCCCAAATTGCCCAAAGTGACCCCAAATTTGCCCCCAAAATGAGCCCAAACTGACCCCAAATTGTCCCAAAATGGCCCAAATTGCCCCAAAATGGCCCCAAATTGGCCCAAAGCGCCCCAAGTTAGCCCAAAAAGGCCCCAAATGGCCCCAAAAGGGCCCAAAATTGCTCCAATTCCCCCGAATTCACCCAAATCACCTCACCTGTCCCTCACCTGTCCAATCAGGTGTCCCCTCACCTGTCCCTCACCTATGTCTCTCTATTCCCTCACCTGTGTCTCACCTGTCCCACACGTGTCTCACCTGGCAGGTGTCGGCGCGGCTGCGCGGCTCCCCGGCGAACTCCTGTGTCCCCCCTGTGTCTCCCCTGTCCCACACGTGTCTCACCTGGCAGGTGTCGGCGCGGCTGCGCGGCTCCCCGGCGCACACCATGTTGGGGGTGATGGAGTCGGGGTAGATGCGGCGGCAGGTGAGCTCAGGTACGATCCTCACCTGGCTGCAGTGCAGGGCCTGCGGGAACGTCACTGCAAACACACCTGGGGTCACCTGACCGGGGTCACCTGACCGGGGTCACCTGCCCGGGGTCTCACCTGGGGTCACACCTGGGGTCACCTGACCAGGGTCACCGGACCGGGGTCACCTGACCGGGGTCACCTGACCGGGGTCACCTGACCGGGGTCACCTGACCGGGGTCACCTGACCGGGGTCACCTGACCGGGCTCACACCTGGGTCACACCTGGGGTCACACCTGGGGTCACCTGACCAGGGTCACCTGACCGGGGTCACACCTGGGGTCACCTGACCGGGGTCACCTGACCGGGGTCACACCTGGGTCACACCTGGGGTCACACCTGGGGTCACCTGACCAGGGTCACCGGACCGGGGTCACCTGACCGGGGTCACCTGACCGGGGTCACACCTGGGGTCACCTGACCGGGGTCACCTGACCGGGCTCACACCTGGGTCACACCTGGGGTCACACCTGGGGTCACCTGAGTGTGTTCCCCATGCCCAGGTGTGCCCAGGTGTGCCCAGGTGTGCCCAGGTGACCCCTCCCAGTGCCCAGGTGTGCCCAGGTGTGCCCGTTACCTGTCCGTACCTGGGGGCGTGGCAGTGCGGGATGGTCAGGACCCACCTAGGTGTGTTCCCCATGCCCAGTTAACCCCCCCGTGCCCAGGTGTGCCCAGGTGTGCCCGTTACCTGTCCGTACCCGGGGGCGTGGCAGTGCGCGGCCGTCAGGACCCACCTGGGCGCCACCAGGGTCCCCCCGCAGATGAAGCGGCGCCCCCGGAACAGCGCGGCCTGCCAGGGTGGGGCACAGGTGTGCCCCTCCAGCACCCACCTGGGCACCCGCCCACCTGGGGTCACACAGGTGAGTCACTCAGGTGAGTCTGGGGTCCCTCAGGTGAGTCAGGGGTCACACAGGTGAGGGAGGGCAGGGCCTGCCAGGGCGGGGCACAGGTGTGCCCCTCCAGCACCCACCTGGGCACCCGCCCACCTGGGGGCGCACAGGTGAGTCACACAGGTGAGTCTGGGGTCACACAGGTGAGTCTCAGGTCCCTCAGGTGAGTCAGGGGTCCCTCAGGTGAGGGAGGGCGGGGCCTGCCAGGGCGGGGCACAGGTGTGCCCCTCCAGCACCCACCTGGGCACCCGCCCACCTGGGGGCGCACAGGTGAGTCACACAGGTGAGTCTGGGGTCACACAGGTGAGATTTGGGGTGCTCAGGTGAGTCAGGGGTCCTCAGGTGAGTCTGGGGTCCTCAGGTGAGTCTGGGGTCCCTCAGGTGAATGAGGGCGGGGCCTGCCAGGGTGGGGCACAGGTGTGCCCCTCCAGCACCCACCTGGGCACCCGCCCACCTGGGGGCACACAGGTGAGTCACACAGGTGTGCCAGGGCGGGGCCTGCCAGGGCGGGGCACAGGTGTGCCCCTCCAGCACCCACCTGGGCACCCGCCCACCTGGGGGCACACAGGTGAGTCACTCAGGTCAGTCTGGGGTCCCTCAGGTGAGTCTGGGGTCCCTCAGGTGAGTTTTGGGGTGCTCAGGTGAGTCAGGGGTCCCTCAGGTGAGTCTGGGGTCCCTCAGGTGAGTTTGGTTTCTCTCAGGTGAGTTTTGGAGTGCTCAGGTGAGTCTGGGGTCCAGCTGTGCCCCTCCACCACCCGCCGGGGCACCCGCCCACCTGGGGGCACACAGGTGAGTCACTCAGGTGAGTCTGGGGTCCCTCAGGTGAGTTTGGTTTCTCTCAGGTGAGTTTTGGAGTGCTCAGGTGAGTCTGGGGTCCCTCAGGTGAGTTTGGTGTCCCTCAGGTGAGTTTGGGGTGCTCAGGTGAGTCTGGGGTCCCCCAGGTGAGTCTGGGGTCCCTCAGGTGAGTCTGGGGTCCCTCAGGTGAGTTTGGTGTCTCTCAGGTGAGTTTTGGGGTGCTCAGGTGAATTTTTGGGGTCCCAGGTGAGGTTTTCAGGGTCTCAGGTGAATTTTGGGGTCCCCCGGGTGAGTTTTGGATCCCCAGGTGACATTTTTGGGGTCCCCAGGTAAATTTTGGGATCCCCTGCGTGTTTTTGGGATCTCAGGTGGTTTTTGGGGTCCCTCAGGTGATTTTGGGGTCCCCAGGTGAGTTTGGGGTCCCCAGGTGAGGTTTTTGGGGTCCCCAGGTAAATTTTCGGGTCTCCAGGTGAGGTTTTTGGGGTGCTCAGGTAAATTTTTGGGTTTCCCAGGAGAGATTTTTGAGGTCTCAGGTGAATTTTGGGGTCCCCAGGTGATTTTGGGGTCCCCAGGTGTTTTCAGAGTCCCAGGTGAGGTTTTTGGGGTCCCCAGGTGTTTTTGGGGTCCTCCAGGTGAGTTTTGGGGACCCAGTTGTTTTTGGGGTGCTCAGGTACATTTTGGGGTCCCCCAGGTGATATTTGACTTCCCAGGTGAGGTTTTTGGGGTCTCAGGTGATTTTGGGGTCCCTCAGGTAGAATTTTGGGGCCTCAGGTAAATTTTGGGGTCCCCCGGATGTTTTTGGGATCTCAGGTGAATTTTTGGGGTCCCCAGGTGAGGTTTTTGGGGTCCCAGGTGAGGTTTTTGGGGTCCCCAGGTGAATTTTGGGGTGCACAGGTGAGTTTTGGGTCTCAGGTGAGTTTGGGGTCCCTCAGGTAAATTTTTGGGTCCCCAGGTGAGTTTTGGGGTCCCAGGTGAGTTTTTGGGGTCCCTCAGGTGAATTTTTGGGTCCCCAGGTGAATTTTTGGGGTCTCTCAGTTGAATTTTTGGGGTCCCCAGGTGAATTTTGGATCCCTGGGTGAATTTTGGGGTCCCGGGTGAATTTTGGGGTCCCAGGTGAATTTTGGGGTCCCCGGGTGAATTTTGGGGGCCCAGGTGAGGTTTTGGGGTCCCAGGTGAGTTTTGGGGTCTCACCTGGAGCCGCGGGCAGGAGCAGCAGCAGCAGCAGGAGCCTCATCCCTGGGGGGAAACGGGAATTTTGGGG